GACATAAATTTCAACATAATAATAATAATATTAGCCAAAAACAAGATGCTTTGTAAGACAAAGAGTATATATATCAAAGCATAGGCAATAAATTGCTCAGACTGTAAAAAACACTACACAGGACAAAGTTGATGGCCTCTTCAGCTTCGTGAATACCAACCAATTAGCAGTCAAACGCCACAACAATTCTTCGCTTATATCAATACACACGGACAATTATGGACATACATTCGTTCGGGACAATGTTGAAATAGTGAATAGGGGCAGCACAAAGAACACTAGAGAATTTTTACAAGCTTGGCAGTCAGGTCAATCAACAATTAACAAAAACATCGATATTGACCCCATTTATCGACCAATCAGAAAAATCATAGGTGACATATTGTGATCAAGAAGCAGATCAAAAGGGGGATACAATCAAAACAAAGCTGCAAACAACCTCAGGTTTCAGGTCAATAACAACCAATCAAGTTCCATGATCACAGAACAAGCTACAAGTGAAACGGGGAGAAATTCGAATACTTCACTTCTATCATCTGTAGTTTGTGCTGATGATGTTGTTGTGTTCAGAAGAACAACGAAAGCTCCACAACTGAAATATCCAGCTCAGAGAACGAAACACCACAACAATTATCCACTTAAGCGACAGACTGCCGCAGAACCTGACGATCAATAGAGTCGAACGTCACCTTAAGGTCCAGAAAGACAACTATTATCGGACGCCTAAAGGTGTGTCTGTATTCCAAGAACATGTCGTAGTGTGAAAATATGTTCTATGCATCCGGGTTCAGGTTTGAAACCAGCCTGGTTTTCTTGAGCTGTAGTTGGGCGTATAACAGTAGTTCATCTGATTCTTCCTCGATTGTCACAAGAGGACTTTCGTCCTCTTTTTCCATACCTCCCCTATTGTTCTTCTCTTTTCCTAGTTCTTCCCAATCACGCTACATCGCATGTTTCCCTAATATAAAAGGTATCTTCTAGCTAGATACGAACCGCCACAACCAGTTGGCATCGGTCAACGAACGTGAGCACATACATACATACATATGTAGAAATATGTCCGTAAACCATGAACATTCAAACTTAAAATTTTACAAATCACATGAATAAACACAGATATACTATACGAAAAATATGTATATCCAATGAAATCGATCAAAAGTGACTTTCAATATAGAAAACACAACCAATGAACATAAAGACAGCCAAATGAATTAGACAAATGACAAAGATAAATTTTGACCAATTAGGTGATAAATAACTCGACATATGTAAATTAAAAAGCCACATTTCTAAACAATTAAGCCAAATACAAATCAAGAATAATTATAACTTTTTTTTAAAAAAAAAACAATCTCCACTTGTTGTTCACTGCTTAAATTATTAGAAAGGTGCAATGAAAGATATACTGTGGTGCGCGCTACTTATAAGTAGTATATGACGCGAGTGAAAACGTAATGTCTGGCAGCAGAAGATGGGGGAAGATCAAGAAAGTAAGAAGTGTGGGAACACAATGGAATTTGTATGAAATAGCATGAATAGTGAAATGTCAGACAATGGATTGATGATGGATTGAAGATTTGCAAATTAACGGTTTACGATATGGTTTTCCTATTTTACTGAGTAACTCTGTAATTTTCGTTAAATACAATTCGGTTGCCCTCACCTGTGTTCTCCTTCACTACAATACCGGTAAAACGAATTCCATTGACAGTTGAATTACGTCACAATCAAAAAAATTATTTACATCTCATATAACTGATCATTACGTAATATAAAATATTAATCATAATCTAATTTTTTTAAAAATCCTGATCGGTGGTCTATATATAACACATGACTCCATTAGACATTGTTATATGGTGTACGTAAGTAAGTAAATAAATAATGTTTGTTATGTTCGTCAATTGATATGCTTAAATACTATTACAAATTCACCTTAGTCGGTAAACGAGAGCGGAGAAAAATGATCCAGTGACACGATAGGCTACTCTAACCTATGCGTCCCAAGGCCCTACTAAGTAGAAGAAGTCTTGATATGGCGTAGAAAGTGTATTATTCTACAAACACCCAGAAAATACGAGGTTGACAAGCACACAAATCGAGTTTATTTATACATCATAAGGAGGCCACAGAAATAGCGTACTAAAATAATGACAGTCAAGGATTTTCCGGGTGAGAAATGTAATCTGAAGGTCAACTGAGCAGCCCATGTGCGAAACCACAAAAAATCCAAAATTAGGACCTTTATCAAGTGAGTTCTGGGGATCTAACGTCGCCAAAAATTTCATGACAACTTATTTGTATAGGTTTATCCATGATTAAATATGCACACATAAACATTCATGAAATGATCATTGATTTATTGATTTTACAAGGGAAGTTTAGTTTTTATTTGACTCTATGGCATTTTCAATAACAAACAAAACATCTCTCTCCGGTGTATTATTCAATTAAATGAAATTGTAAAACACTGAAACAATTTCGTTACAGATAAATAGAATGTAAAATTGTTAAAGCATCATAGAGTGCTGTTTCAATGAATATTTTCAAACCTTATTGTCAGTGATCCAGTCTTGATATTACATACTGTCAGTTAATCTAAGTGTGAATATCGATTGCGCTACAAAACTTCATACGTAAGTACATCAGTTCAGGTTACCATAACAGCTCAGCATACAGAAGCAATGGTCAATTCAAATCCCATAGTGGTAGAGATAGTAGAAATATTAGCGGTAATGGAGAATATTAAGGATCGAAGATATTATTCAAGAAGTATAATTCAGTGAGATAAATTTATAAAAAGACAAAGGTAGAGGTGTTGACGAATCCAGAATATTAGGATATGAGAGAACATAAAAAATGTATGCACCTGCACCAAAGAAAATGATTTTGAGACATGTCGTTGAAGGTCTCTAACCATCGATTACTATCATCTTGCGGACCCTAACCAGGTAGTCGACAACTACCGACATGACTCAGTCCACTTATCAGTAACTTCATGGATTTGTGCCAGTACGAATAAATTAAAATCAACCCCCCCCTCACAGTGACTAACTATCACGACTCATTAGTTAAGTGAACACTGCGTTAGCCTTCGAGATGTACGAGGCTGCATTCGACTATTGGCGTAAACTCCAGCTCCAGGATGCAAGTTAAAAATAAGACGAAACAAGAAGGATCTCTAGTTTCCACTACTAGCCACTATCCACCTCTACTAATAATGCGATTATCCTAAATGAAATATCAAGGTAATCCGTACAAGATGCACAAGATATCAATCGTAGTTCAAAAACACAACAATATTTCCATGAATCTTAATCAGTAGAGTTATAAAAACCAACATTTCAATCCACATACCGCCTAAAATACACTGATTGATTCAGTCTTACAACAAGAAAAAAGTATTGTACCGACCTGAAAACGTTTACTTCTAGAGTAGTAAGACACACACACACATACACTAATCAACAGGATAACACAGTATATTGTATTAAATCAATTGATAAAATCATTGAAAAAAAACATATAGAGAAACTTTATAACACTTGAAACATTGAAAAACATCTAACTGACAACTTCTTAACAAAACAAAGTCTTCGAGGTTTGTTGGTTATGTGGTGATTGGCATTACTTACGATTCTGTCCATTTAAAAAACATAAATGTCAGATGTGCAACAAACGTGGACATAAAGGAGGCCATTGTCAACCAAATCGTACGTCCCAGCCCAGGAAGAAGCATAAACGTACTCGACATGTAGTGAAATTAGCCGAGTCTAAATCACTTTCTCTCGTAGCTGCTTTTCAAACAGACTAAGACGTTCGAAGAAAGTATGTTACTATCCAGATGAACGGTGCATCAGCTCGTTTTTAAATCGACACGGTATCAGATATCACCTTAATGTCTAGAGAAACGTATAACTTGCTGGGAAAACCGCCAATGAACCCCTTCTAAGAAAACAGCTAAAAGCGCTTCAAGTGGTGTGTTAAAACTGGTTGGTGAATTCCAGTGTGAATTTTCCTTCAACGGAACAAAATGTACAGGAATATGCTATCTGACAGAACGGCCAAACCTTGATCTTCTTGGTCTAGATATGCTATAAAAACTGGGAATAATGGATTTACCGATTAACAGTGTCTACAGCGTATCGTGTTCATCATTGGACACCCTGACACTTACAAAGAAGACAGGTGAAAGGTTACAAGCCTCTGCTTTTCAGAATAGCCTTGGCAGTTGTACGAATATGAAAGCTAACCTACTAGTGAAATCAGATACCAAACCTGTTTCACGTCCGAGGCGCCCTATACCATATGCCTCAGAAAAACTTATCGATGAGGAAGCAGCCCAATCGACGGTTGTTCACAGATATGGCTCCTACAAAGCAGGCGGCTCATAAGAGTACGGGCGGCAAGGCAAACGGGAAGCAGTTGGACACTAGCACCAGATCCTACGGATCTTCTCAAAGGGGAGGTGTTAGTGGGACATAGATGGAATTAAAGCATGACTACGTTGCTACGCGCTGATTGGCTAATTTCCTATCCAATCAGTGCCTGATCGATTCTTGGAGAACAGGATAGAAAATTCTCGTATTGTTAGCTGCATGCTGATTGGTCAAATCTAATCCAGTCGATCACGTGAATTACTATCCAGAAGCTTCTCATGTAAATACTATAAAGAAACTAACGTTGTATCTTTTTTTAGCCTTCGCCTTCGGCTTCTTCTTTCCATTTAACCTTGCTATTTGGAATAGAATCTCTACCTGTTCAACCGTGTTTTTGATTATTTGGAACTTGGCCAGTGTATTGTGGTCAGAGAATACTAAGCAATAGGATTTAGCTGGGAATTATATCTAAGCAACCGTTACAACAAGGTTCCATTGTTAATCAACATTTAAACCAACAACCATCACAGAGAAAGGTATGATTCTTTGACGTTTAAAAAGAAAAACTAGAAAACAAACACAGACACACACACACATACAGAAAACAAAATCACAAACTTACTCTCCAGATTTCTCCGGATAAAATTCATGACCAGTTGAATTGACAATATCATTTAAATCTAATTCTTTTTGACTGATTAGTAATCGATTGGTATGATTGTTAGTGGTAATATTATTATCAGTATTACAAGTAGTTGTGGTACTTGTAGTATTAGTAGTAGTCGCTGTTGTTGTTGTGGTTATTACTGTCGAATGAATCTTGGTATTTTCAGTATGATGATGATGATGATGATTACTGACATCATTGGTCGTCATCAATGGGATAATTGCATTTGTGTCATTGTTTATTGTCGATTTGATACATTGAATAGAAGAATTATGATCATGTGTATTTGTTGTATGCTGAGAACGACTTAGTGTTGTTGGTGAAACACCGCATTCATTATTTATTGGTGCAGTATGAATATTATTATTATTATTATTCGATGTTAATGAATAGATATTCATTAAATTTAGATTAGATAAATCATTTGGAATGATTATTCTGAAAATGTTTTTTTTGGTAGGAAAGCCAGAACGGAAAGAAGAAGAGGAGAAAAGAAAAAAAAGGGATGAACGTTAGTAAGTTAGTTAGTCAGTTATCACTGATTGATCAAAACTACTATTATAACACACAATTACAGGATGTGGATGAAAATTTTTTTTTCGTTTAAGGAAATTGATTTATATGAATCAGTCAGTCAGCTACGACGTCAGTTCAGGTTGCCATAACACACAATAGTACCGAGAGATCAAAGTGTCAGTTCTAATCCTATAGTAGTAGAGGTAATAGACGTATTAGCAGTAATCGGAGACATTAGGGTTCGAAGATATAATTCACGAAGTATAATTCAGTGAGATAATTTTAGAAAGAGAAAGGGTATAGGTGATGAGGAATTCAGAAGGTTAGAATTTCATAAAACACAAAGAGTAAATGCACCTGCGCCATTGCAAACGGTTTTGAGCCATGTCATTCAGTATTTCTAATAATCGATTATTATCATCTCGTGGACCCCAACCAGGTAAGTCGACAACTACCAACATGACTCAATCCACTTGTCAGTGACTTCATGAATTGCTGCAATGTTTTGGTTTGGCTGCCCCTAGATTCCGTCCAGCCTATTCCTATATAGCTCGACGAGGCAGTCGGTGGTTAGGCATACGCAGCACATGTCCCAACCACCTCAACTGATGAAGTTTCATTGCTTCATCTATTGACCTGTCATCCTTAACAAGCACCCATTTCCTAACAACAGCATTATTTACAGTACTCGAGCAATGCTTCGGAGACACGTACGATCGAAAACCAGTAACCTACGAATATCTTCTACTCTCATTGGCCATGTTTCCAAGCCATGTAGTAAGACGGAGCGAACTGCTACGCAGTAAACTCGTCCTTTAGTCAGCAAACGGATATCTCGCCTTCGCAATAAGTGACACAGGTTGGCAATAGCAAACCGATCTTTCTGTATCCGTGCTAAGATTTCGCCAGTCACCGGGCCATCAGCACTGATGAGACTCCAGAGATAAGTGAAACGGTCAACACGCTCATCTGCTTCACTCTCTATCACTAGTTCAGGTACTGATGAAACCCAAAATTGAAGCAACATTTTGCATTTCAAGTGGAAAAACCGCATCCCGAACATGCTTGCATTGTTGCTTAGGGTAGTCAGAAGACTGCATTTTGTCAGCGTCTTCACCGAATAGAACTATGTCATCGACATATTCTACGTCAATCAGCTCGCCAATGTTGCAGCAATGATAATAAGTAAGTCAATCACAACAACAGCACTGAGAGATCGAAGTGTCAGTTGAAATTCCATAGAAGTAAAAGTAGTAGCAGAAGTACAATCTAGTGAAATAGTTTTAAAAACCTAGAAAAAAAACAACGGTCATGAGGCATTACGAAAATTAGAGAACACAAAGAATAAATGCATTTGCGCAATAGTAAATGATTTTGAGTCATATCATTCAAAGTCTCTAACCATCGGTTATGATTGTCTCGCAGACCTCAACCACATAGTCTACACCTATTAATATGGCTTAGTTCAGCCATCCATAACCTAATGCAGTTGAGTCATGTTTTGATCTGGTCGACCCTAGATTTCTATCTTAGCTTACCCATACACCACAAAACATTGCTCGTCGAGGCAGTCGGTGGTTGGAAATATGTAACAAATGTCGAAACCACCTCAGCTGATGAGCATTCACTATTTCGTCTATTGATCTGCCATCCCTACATAGTTCTCGTTTCCAAACAAATGCATTGCTTACTCTATTGTTCTAGGATATACGAGCAATGCTTCGAGGACATCTATGATCGAATACTAATAGCATACGAATATCCACTAATCTTACTGACCATGTTTTACACCTACATAGTAGGACGGAACGAACTGCTGCGCCATACACTCGTCATTTGGTTAGCGAACGTACATCTCGCCTACGCCATAAGTGACAAAGGATGACAAAAGCCAATCGAGCCTTCTATATCCGTGGTGAGTTCAACCAGACACTAGGCCAATATGCTGATGAAACTCTCAACATATGTATAGCGGTAAATATTCTAAACATGGTCTGGAAGAACAACAGAAATAAGGTAATATGAACGATTCTAAAGTACGGCACGGAGTCCAACGTATTAAAATTAGTACGAACCAAAAATACAATTGCCGTTAGTGAACATGTTCAAAAAATAATTAGCATTCAATAGATTTTAGAATTTTATTGTATAACCACCATACATCGTTGATGATTTTACAGATGTATCAAAATTCTTATCGATTATAATATAACACAAACGGATCGATAATTCAATAACGATACAAACCCTACAAATCAATGTTTCATACATAGCGCATTGTATTCCATTCATTGTTACATAAAAATTCAATAAAACTTACTCATCCCGAATCCCACTATCTTCTGGATCATCATCTTCATCTTCTATTTCTTCTTCACCTTCAGATGAACCATGGATTCGAAATCCAAATTCACTGATTCGATCACCAAGGGATTCCTAACGATAGAAATTGGATAAATAGTGATAAGAATTTTTCGAGATGTTTCATCTAATCATAGTGTGGTGTGTGCTACTTATACGAACGATATAAGTAGTATAAGAATGGACGTGAAAGAAGATGTCTTACGGTCAGAAGAGGAAAACGGAAAGCAAATAGAGCAAAAGCAAGAAAGATTTAGAGCCCCGACAGGAAGTAAAGGAAGCAACAGCAGGAATGGAGGAAGGCTGGAGCGTTGGAAGTCAGGACTCAAAGATGGTGTGCAAATGGAGTGTTCAATGTAATGTTATCGTTTTTAATTGACTAAGAGTGTAAATTTGCCAAATACAATCTATTGAGCCTGCCTCAGTCTTCTCAATTGGTGTCGCTGCCTCCACACAGGATGAAGATACCATGGCCTCGGGAGTTTGAAGGCGGAGATATAAGGAGCTTCTTGAAGGAGTTCGAGGCTGTGGCGGAGCTGGTCGGAGTCAAGGAACGGAAGGCGAAGGCGGTGGTGCTGGGGACTCTACTGAGAGGCAGGGCGAGGGCGGTGTACGATAGTGTTGAGGACGCTGACTGGAAGGCGGTGACGGAAAGGCTGCTGTTGGAGTTCGACAGCCCGGCGGATAGGCAGGACGCGCTGCAGAAGTTCCGAGAGGCGCGGCTGTCGGTGGACGGCGACCCACTCGTGCTGGCCGTGGAGTTGACAAGATTGCTGCGCCGGGGTCTGCCGAATTTGGATGAGGAGTCGCAGGCACAGCTGCTAGCCTCGCAATTCATTGAAAGTGTGCCTGCAGAGATTGGCCAGCAGTTGAGACTGGTGAACGCGGCACAACCAATGGACGTCACCGAGCTGGCGAAAGTAACAAGACAACTGATGAACTCAACAGTCGCCTCGGTGGCGTGTGAGAGACAGGCTGATGATGTCGTGAAGAAGATAGAAGAATTACAACGAGAGGTGGCAGCGTTACGAATAAAGGGTGAAAGAAATAATAAATGCTACATTTGCGGAGGAACCGGACATTGGAAGAGGAATTGCCCAACAAGACGAAGACGTAAATATTTTAGAGCATACACACGTTGTTCTTTATGTCTTTCGAAAACTGGGGTCTCGGCATTAGTAGATAGGGGGGCGGTCTATGCGAGAGTAGGGATAAACGAGCGAGAGGTAGTTTGCCTGATTGATACAGGGGCGGCAGTTTCGTTAATAGACCAAGAGCGGTGTAGAGGTATCAGGCCGAGTGCTTCAGTTGTTAACACCATCGGCGGCCACGTGTTAAAAATCCTCGGAGTCTCAAATGATATCGTGAAAATCGGCAGTTCGAAAATACAGTTTCCCTTTGTAGTGACTACGAACTTGTCGAGACCAATACTAGGAGCAGATTTCTTGAGAGAAGTAGGAGCAATTATTGATACAAGAAGTAAGAAGGTGATTACAAAGTACGGCACACTGACGATACATGAAAGCAGCGAGGTGGCTGAGGTTAGAGTGGCAAAAGAGGACATTGGAAAGAAACAGAACATTAACGAGGTGCTCACAAAATATAAGA